AAAATGAGAGGAAAAGAGGGAGAGAGATAATTTTGAGCATTTAAGACGGAAAGCGTAAAGTACATAAGAATATTCCTGCCAAGAAAAGCGATAAGAATTGTTCTTTCTTCCGAAACTTCTTCCCGTTGACCGAAGCAAGGTTCTTTCTTCTTCTTTTTTCTATTCTCTTCACATCATAACAAACACTATTCCATTTTTTTATGTTACTTTTCTCCATTCATTTATATCCGTAAATGGATACTTACAGAAAATTAAGCTTTTTTTTTTATTCTTCAATATTGTTTCCTGTCATCATATGCTTATACTTGAAATTGATCTCGTCAAAATATCTTAACGGTTTGTTTTATAATCTTGCCAATAGACTATTTATTGGAATATTGTCAAATCGACATCACAATTACACTCTAATATGTTTTAAGTCTTTCTCTGTGTTAGTATAATAAAGGATTACTTAAATGTCCGTTGACAAATTTCTGGCCAGCACAAAGTAATAAATTTATATTACTCTTAAATTCATTGAGAATTAAGGATATTAGTATATTCCATCTATGTATTTCCTTTTTTTAATCATTTCACTCCAAGCAAGGCAATAAAGTCACTAAGACGCAAAAGGGTTACTATGTGTAAGAGAATATGAGAAAAAATACTACTAAAGAGAGAGAGAACAATAAAAGAACAAGAATTAAGAAGACAGACGATTAACATTCCATTTAAATTTTTGAAGATCAATGTTGACTGGGAAACAAGAAACTGGAAGAGATTTCCGCAAGCGAGAAGGAACTGTCAGCATAGAACTTACGGTTACAAATGTTCTTGTTGCTTAATACTTTGTTTAGCTTTTAGAAGACATCTTTCCTCCAATCCAAAGCGGTTTCGGATTTCTGTATCGCATTTTCCGCCGTCTATTATAAAACTTTCCAAATACTTCAGATTTCTGTACGGCCTTGATACCAGCGTCTCCGTTTTGTAGCTCGCATCTCGAGTTTTCCCTTTTGCAAACAACCACACATTCTGTCCTCTTTCAGTTGATGGTTACTTATTTCTTCCCGTTTTATTATCTTGTATAGGTTTTATGCATTTTTCTATCTCTGTTATCAACATAGGGTCATTAAGATTGTGTCTGCCAATAATTAAATCCTGGTAGGACCTCTAGTTCTCTCGCCTCATGGGTTAAATAAGCCCGGTGATGATATGCATCCTTCTATTTCCGTGCACTTGCTCAAATTATAATCTATGTTTGCTCCCAGTATAAATTCTACATTATTCTAACGTCTTTCCCAAATAAATAGTTTTCCTAGCAGTTCAAATCTATCTTTGTGATGTACCGCGTCAGGTGCTTTTGGTTAGTTTATGAAACATATGTATGCATTCGTCTGCATTTATACGACTCCCTTTAGTATCGCTCTGATCATAAAGATTGCATTTCTTGTTCCAGTGTCTTTAATGAAATCACACCAGTCATCAGAATCTGAAGAACTGAAATTCTGAAAAGCTGAATGTTTTTTGAAAAACATTTTTTTCCTTGATGTCTTCAAATTAAAGCCCATATTTGGCACCAAACATAACCTGGCATAACCAAAATCTTTCAATTTATGTTCACTGCTCTATACTAGGTCAGGTAGAGCGAGCAGAATTATTTTTCCCTTCGAGTGCAGCTGGTTTGCCGCCAATGTCTTTCCCAAATAAATCATGCTTTCCAAACAGTTCAAATAGATCTTTCCGTCGTATCTCATCAGATGGCTTTCAGCAATTTTTGAAACATAGGTATGATAGTTACCTCGTCTCCCGACTGAGACGTGATGCGACACAAGGTCGTGTTTATTGTGGGTCCAAGGACAAAAATTCAGTTGCGCTGGACTCGGCAGTGAGCAGCGATCTCACTTACTGCCATGACGGGGTGCAGCTTCGAGCAGCTGCTTCCCAGGGCCGGGCACCTCGCAGTATTATTTTCCTCGTATGCGCTTCTGTCCTCCGACGGAGCCGAAACTGGGTCGCACTCTTCCCGAAGACACGCAACTGAGAGATGACAAACCTTACCAGTTAAGTATCATCTATGAAATATGTATACGTCCTTGTGCGTTTGTGTCGCTATCTTTGATATTATTCTGTTCATGGACATTGTATTTATTGTTCCAATCTCTTTAACCAAACCATACTGTTGTCTTCTTTGGTATCGCGATGAAGTTAGATTTCCTAATTACTTGTATGTTACCAACGTTTTATATTTCATTTATTATCTTGTAGATGCCGAAATCGTCTTTGGTCGATATCTCTGTTAACGACTCTGTCTAGTCTTACGGTCTTTTCTCTGTTCATCTTGACCAGTGCTAATCTTACATCGGAATTTAATATTTCCGACTCTTTCATAATTGCTTGTATAGTTTATGTTTTCCGATTTCATTGTGAAGAAGTTCTTTACCATATTTGTTCCATCTTTGTAGTAGCTATCCTTCTTTCGATTGTATGTATCCTGTCGATGAACAAGTCTTTTATTCTTTTATTACTTTTATTCCTTCATGTATACCTGCCATATCTATGATGCTTTTTCTTATTATCTTTGCATACTTTTCGTTGAGCCTTTCCTCTTTTGCCTGTCTGCATTTTTTCTAATTTTCTATATTCTGTACCATTTCTTGGCATTGTTTGCTGTCTCTTTTTCTTTTATCTCGGGAATTTCAGCTGTCATTTACTTCTTTTTTTTCCCCTGTTTCACGGTGATCTTGGGTTGATCTCCTTCGCCAATATCAGTAGAGCTTTTCTTCATGGGCTCCATCCAAGATATGTAGCTTCAGGGATCTGTTTGGTTTTCTTTCTTTGTGTATATCACATTTGCCTTAAAAACATCCAGGAGCAAGTACGGAACATGCTGTCGACCTCAGTGCATCTACATGCAACAAATTCAGTTCAGCTAAGACCATCGTTGGAATGTACCTGGATATATATGCACCATCATCCTTCTCCTCATCATCATCTTCATTACCGGGTGTGGGCGCAGGGCCCACGCGCAGATGAACACTTGGCCAGTCCCCCTCCCTATATGTTGGTTGAAAGCTAGTGAGGTATTCATTGATGTGTCGCGTGTCTTTGGCAAGTACACCAGGTGGAGCCTATTAAACCAGAGTCGCTGTCCTTTGGTCACTGACATATGACCGCTGACTAGATCGGGGAACTCTTCACTTTGACCGCTGATTTCAATCTAGGAGGAAAGCGATGGCGTGTCATCACCGCATGGACAGTATACATAGCTCGGAAACCGTTCTACACCACTGAGCTAGATAGCTGTTGACCCAAGAACGTTTACTTGTCCTTTGAAATGCCTTTTAAATCTTTCTGGTTGTAGCTGCCATTCCCACCAGAAACCTCAGACGCGGGAAACAGTCGAGAGGATGTATAAAATAAAAAGAGGGAAACCACATGACAGACAAAAAAGCATTGTTAAAAGATAGCGAGAAATACAATTATACATTCATTATCATCATTCATTCAGTTAGCGCATTTTTCACCGCTGTGGTCACCAATCCTTTCCATCTAATATAGGTGCAGATTATTTAACAGGAAATACAAGTGCGGATTATGTGATGAGAAATACAGTTGCCAATCCAACAAAAATTCTACTTCTTCTACGTGGCACATCCCATCAGAATGTGGGGGAGAACATGGCTCTCCACAACTTCTTAACATTTGTAACTCGTAGGAAAGTTTTGTTTTTTTTTAATTTTTTATTCCTTTCCCCACCCCCGTTCTGCGATACATTTACACAAGCACGTAAGGCATTATATTCACAGACGGGGGAAACAGTGTAGTTGCCGATAACCCGACCGTCCGTCAGTTAGAACTGGCTGATATGCTACCAATAGCGCTTGTAGAGTGACCTAACATAATATAGATATATCCACGGAACAATGGTAGCAGATGGTAGGTTCTCTTGCCTCCGCTATTCCAGAGAAGAGGCCCTATAAATTGTTAGGTTGCTGTCGCATATTTTATTTTTGGCACTTCAGTTTGTTTATTGATAGAGAAGAAGCGATGGAGACGAAAAAAAAAAGACTTTTGATATCCAACTTCCTGGCTGAATACCAAGAGTCAACGAGCAAGAAATTAAAAGCCAAGTAGGTGTGGAAAGGCGTCAAATTTGCGATTCTTTATGGCGAGATAGAGCAAAAGAAAGATAGAAGAGAGGAGGCAACAGAAAATATTTGTATATTCCTTATTCGTCCTACACATCTGTGGATTATCCATAGTTATATAAAATTCAAATAAACAGACATTGGAAAGGATAAGGAGTTTAAGAAAAATATACAAACAAATGGAGAAACTTGGCTTGAAATAGCGATAAATCTTGGACGTTAATGTTCATAAAAGTTCTAAGGGTCGATTCCATAGCTAGTTTACCTTCTCAGGTCGTTCTTACATTCTACTACCAAAATCTAAGACATAGACAGAAAATACAGAAGTGCTTTATATTAATTTCAAGATCATTTAACATAGAAAACGCTTTTATATTTGACAAAAAAAAACACGTAAAAGGAGCAGGAATTCATATTTATTTACATAGCTGCTTCATTCTGATGCGATCTTCTTGGCGCTATATATACTTACGCCAATTTTCATTTTTTGGGATGAAGTATTTTCATTGTTGTTGTGTATCATTGTCGTTTTTTTTATATCAACGCATGGGTCGTTCTTACATTCTACGACCATTAAGCATAATTATGGATCAGAAATAGCTTCGTCTGACACAGGGTGAAACAATTGCATCACTTCCCAATGTTTAAAGCTTTCCTAGAAAAAGACATTCGAAGATATACATACAATCTCAATATGATTATTTAATTAAAGTAGCCAAGTCTGGTACAAGATTACAACAGTGACGCACCTGTAAGGGCACAACACACAATACTAGCAAATTGGTCTTCTTGACAAGGTTAATAATCATGACGACATCATTGGTTTTTTTTTAATATTTAATCGTGATAGCTTCGTATGACATAAGATCAGAATTAGTGAGAAATTAGAGGTGGGAAGACAAGAGGGGAATGAATGCCTATAAAATGAGCGTTCGAAATCTTGACTATAACATGAGTTTGAACAGCGATTGTTAACAGTAATAATAAGATAGATAGATAGATAGATAGATAGATAGATAGATAGATAGATAGATAGATATGAAGGGACCAAGAGAGACAGATAAACATGAACTGACCAAGATAGATAGATATATAGATAGATAGATATGAAGAGACCAAGAGAGACAGATAAACATGAACTGACCAAGATAGATAGATAGATAGATAGATAGATAGATAGATAGATATTAGAAGAATTAAAGGTATATGTAGATATATAAACAGATAATAGATAAAGTAAAAACGATATCTATATAAAATTGTATAGACACACACATATATATGTCTATATACATATAAATATAGATATATATTGTAATACATTATGAAATAGACAATTATTTTAAGACATTTTTAAAAATATATTTAATCTATAAAAATAACGTATAAACATAAAAATGTCTTAAAATAATTGTCGGACTGTCCATTTCATAATGTGTGACGTCATTTGTTTACATTTGGATACGCATCAAGCAGATATGAATGTACGTGAGAAAATCATGGAAATTGTAGTTTAAAAACAGTAAAATCGACCTTCCTATTTTACAATTAAATTTAAAATTTTAGTTTTTGTTTTGAAACAGTAATTCCTGTGTAGCGATGGAATCATATTTTTAAAATAGAAAATAATTATAATATATATGTGTGTGTGTGTGTGTGTGTGTGTGTGTGTGTGTGTGTGTGTGTGTGTGTGTGTGTGTAATCTTCAATGAAGGTAAGGTAGATATTACAGCGGGCGTCGGCCCTTTTAAGTAAAGCCGTAGACAATTCCCACGAAGGAGACATATCCTTCATCAGAAGTGAAAATACTGGAGACGGAAGAACATTGAAGAGTTAGACGCCTAAAAGAATCAGCGCATATGCTAGACTATAACGAGCTTAGTAGGCCTAGCATAGAAATAAATACAATATGGAAGCTGCTAATAGTGAAAGAAAGACAAATGTGAACACGCATTCAACAGTTGCAGCAGCACCCATTAAAACATGACAGGCAGCAACAGCAACAAAAACATGACAATGACATAGTAGATTAAAGTTCTGATTCGTGAATTTGGTGATAAAATGATTGTGAGTTCAAGCCCTGAGTCGGGCAGTGCAGACTTAGACTCATTGGAAACGAGCGAAAAATAACTGAACAGTACTAAAAATAAGTAGATGCACTTAGATGTGGGCAATGAAACGAGAACAGTCTATCCCCGTAGATTAAATAAAGGGTTATGTTCAGAATTACCTGTAGTTTACCCAGATCGATATACACTAGAGGAACCCAACCTCCAACCCAACGACAGAAACGTTGTTATAATAACAACACAGATGAGGATAATAATCTGAATATAAACAGTTTAAATAATCCCCCATAAGAAGCTAAAAATCAAAGAATGGTCACCTTGAAATCGACGTCCATTGGTTTGAATTTAAAGATTTTTCTTCTTTAAGTCTGGATACTATTAAAAGCTATAGAGTCCACTGTGACCTTATTGGTGTTTTGAGTCAAGCAAGCAGGTGGGAAAATGGCCGCGAATTACGGTGGGGTTGAATAATATGGCGTTTTCTTGGCGCGATCAAAGTAAACAAAATCGATATATGATTGGCCTTCAAGACGTTCTTCCGTCAGCCGTCAAAAGAATCGTGTGATTTCATTTCTTTTTTTTTTTTCGTTGTTGTTGTTGTTTTGGAATTGAAGAGAAATTTCCAATTGAAAAGGTGAAAAATATCAATATCAGATAAAAATAATCCCCACGTTTGACCAAAAAAATAAATTTTAATATCTTCAGTTGGTCCGTTGATTTAATTAAATAAATTAGATAAATATTGATTAAGAAGCATCCCTTTATAGCAGCTCCTAAGCTTAAACAGTGACAAAGGTTAGAGTTCGAGGCCCTATTTGGGGAATAGATAAAAGTGCACATAATGGTGAGGAACATCGGTTCGTATTTTACAGCCGGAAATACAAGCGCGGATTATATGGCGGGAAATACAGGTGTAGATTATTTAACAAGAAATACAAGTGCGGATTATATGGCGGGAAATACAGGTGCAGATTATTTAACAGGAAATACAAGTGCGGATTATATGGTGGGAAATACAGGTGCAGATTATTTAACAGGAAATACAAGTGCGGATTATATGGCGGGAAATACAGGTGCAGATTATTTAACAGGAAAAACAAGTGCGGATTATGTAATGAGAAATAGAGTTGTCAATCCAACGAGAATTATACTTCTTCTATGTGCCACATCCCATTATGATGTGAGGGAACATGGCTGTCCACAACTTCTTAACATGTGTAACTCATAGAAATGTTTGCTTTTTTTTATTCATCTCCACCACCCCCCGTTCTACGATACATTTTCACAAGCACGTTACGCAGTATATTCACTATTTTCCTGTTTCTTTTTGCCTTCAGTTTGTTCTTTGAGTGTCCAGTTTTCCAAATCTTCTCTCTTCATTATGTGTTCTACAAATGTGAAATTCTTGAGACGACGAAAAAGAGACAGAAAAAAATGCCAGGGAATGGCACAGAATACAGAACATTAAAAACAAATTAGAAACAAATGCAGTGAGGACAAAGAGGAATTGCTCAACGAAAAGTGTGCAGAAATAGGAAGAATGTGTCTTTGATACGGAAGACATGCATAAAAGCATAAAAGAAATGACAGGACAAAAGGCATGCTCATCGAGAGGCTGTATAAAATAAAAAGAGGTAAACCTCATGACACAAAAAGAAAACATTGTTAAAAGATAGCGAGAAGTACATCTATACATTCATTATCATCATTCATTCAGTTAGCGCATTTTGCACCGTTGTTGTCGCCAAACTCCTACATCTAATTGTGGTTCATTGTGACATTGAATATAAAAATAATGCAATGGCTTGCCGGTTCCTTTTACACCGGGTATATTGAGTTTATCTCGTCCCTCCTCTGAGAAATTCCTTCAACCACTGGTAGAACCGATGACCTCTTGGGCGCCGCTCCTACGCTGGTATGGCTGCTTGGCACAGTTGGTTTGGGAAGAGGCATTCCCTTTCCCAAGTCGGGTCGAGAAACTATTCCGACTCCCCTCACACTATTTAGCCGGCAGGTCGATGCCATTGACTGGGATGTTGCAGTCGATGTGCCCATACGACTTCTTGGAGCTGGATGAAGGTCGTGGAGTAGTGCAGTTCCGCATCCCAATTCTCTGAGTAAAGCAGGATCGACCGCTTCTCTTCCAAAACACTACCACTGACGATACACCGCATATACACCCCAAAATATGTATATAATAAATGTGATTGTCAACTTTACTCCGAGAGGCTGTGGCACAACATATTATACTATTTTGGAATCAAGCCAACTTTGTGAGCAAATTAAAAACATTCCCGGTCGGATCCGAACCCGCAATCCGGAATTTTGCGATTTCCAGCGATTGTTTTCGCCGATTTTAGCATGTGATTTTTTGCGACAATTTTTTGTACGATAACAATGTTTATAACTTGGAAATAAATTTAAAAGTAATCAAAATTAAATGCGAAATGCAGCAAAAGTCACTCATGAAATAAAAATAATTGTCTTTACGGAAATTAAGGACCTACGTACATCAAATTGTCTTTAAATTAAGTGGCAGCAGAAGAATTATCGTTGAACTTATAAATGGTAGACTTAAATATTAAATGCAGCGATCAATTTTGAGTTCTTCTGTAGTTTATTGTTGCCTATCACTTTTATTCCTTCCTACCGATTGTGATGAAGGCCCAATCAAGAGCCCTCCGCAGGAAGTAACTTGAATGCTGCTCCATAGGGCGGCTTTTAAGCTAGTATTAGATTGGTGCAAAAAATAATGTCGTTTTTTGACGTTAAGTTGAACGTCAAAAAATGACATTATTTTTGCACCAACCTAATATATTATAAGACTTGAAATATAAATTATATCGACAGTCAGACGGCAATTAAAAATGGCTACCAGCAAAGCCCCATATATTTTTAGGTATAGAACTGGTTTTCAAAATGAAATGCGACAAAACTTTTCACTCTAATATTTAGGGAAATGGGGAAGAAAACAACGACAGATAAGAAGACAAAATACAAAGTTACCAGCAAAAAGAAAGTGTCCATGTTTCGAGCAACGTATCGGAGACGTCAAAATTGAATAGGTTTTAAATTTAACTGTAACCTGAAAGTTTGACACGGAAATCCGATAGTTCTTGGGAATAGCGAAAAATTCCTTATTAAGAAAAGTATTAAAGAACTGGAAAATGACAAAAGCAAAAAAAAAAAAGATCGCTGTGCAATATGACAGAGAATGGTGAGAAATTCTTTCAATAGTAATGACAATAGTAACTAGCCGTTTCCTTATAAGGACTTTAAGGGACAGAGGTGTGGCTTGCTCAACCAATGACGGACGGAGTTTGTGAGAAACTTCTTTTTCTTCTTCTTTTACTGCGTTCTCTGTTCCTACAGCACGTTGGTGGCCATGGCTCTCCACAACTTCCCCCGCTTTGTCATTTTGCTATCCCTCCTGATTCCTGTTCTTACCAAATAAGCTTGGTAGATAATTAATGCTCTGTTTCCTTTCTTCTTTCTTTCCTCATTCTCTGCCCAAGAAATTTCAATTGTCACTTTTTGAATGACAATATCCTATTTTCCCAATTCCTTAAAATTTAATAATTGTTCACATGTACAGACAATGGTATCCTCAGCATCCTTCTGTAGAAACACCTTTCGGTTGCCACGAATCTCTTCTTCATCGGTGGGGTGATTGTCCAACATTCACTGCCATATAAAAGGACTATAAGAGAACGGATGTCACATAACAGTTCAGAACTCTTGTCTTTGTTTCTAATGAAATTTTCCTGTTTCTTAATACTCTGCTTACACTCTTGGGCAAATTAATTGAAACAAAACGAATAATTCGGTTATTATTTACTTTTTTTAGTGTTTCTCTAATGAAGCATGACCCAGTACACATGTTAGTACTTCGTATGTCTATTCCACGAAGTTGTTCCTTGCAGACCAACCACAGATTCTCGATTGGATTTAAATCAGGAGAGTTTCCGGGCCAGTCTATAGTACTAACATATATATGACAATGACCGTAGGACAACTAATCGACAGTCGAGACAATAGTGGGTGGGCGTGATAAAAATCTGATGCAATCACGGATGACGCAGTATTTTTCAAGATCAAACAAATTTCATCATACATCTCGAAAATAGAATCATATTACTGCACACCACAGGTACTGACTTAATCTGAGAAAAAAAAACAG